CTGGAAGGCCACATCTGGACTGTCCCTTTCACCGACCTGAACTGTGTTTCCGGTGTCTTTTAAAAGTGTTCTTTCCCCCATCACCAGTCATTTTCCTGTTCCCTATTGTCATAAAGTTAAATACTCCAGGGTTTCTCAAAGCGGTCATTGAGCCATCTGGGGAGGCTTTTATAATGCAGATCAACCTGCCCAGGCCCCTCCGGGTTGAGAGGTATTTAAGTTGGAGAATCAGGTCACTGGGCCCACCTGCACACTTGCCAAGATGGAGGAAGTGAGATCCAGAGGAAAGGGACTTACCCAGAGCCCCAGCTTGTCTGAGGCAGGACTTCCATTGCTCCATTCCCCGGTAGGAGGTGCCTCCTCAGTGGGCCGCCTAACCTTGGGTCCCAGCAGGCTGCCCCGGGGGCTCTAGGCTTGTCCAAGTGGGTGAGCAGGTTGGCAGGGCCAGCCTCAGCACAGCTGCAGGGCCACCTGCTCTGGGTCCGGAGCCGGCCCCCTCACCCTGGCTTGGCTATGCCAGCCGTTCACAGGAACCTCCTCTCCCCCCCCAGGGCTCCTGTGTGGGCTCTGAGGAGTGGGTGAGTCAGTCCCCAGCTCCTGAGCAGGAAAAAGGTGTCATTGGCCAGGGCCTATCTGCCTGGACACGTGTGTGGAGTTTGTAGTCATGGGGGAGTGCATAAGAGTGAGCCTGTGTGTGTGTGACATGCATGAACTGGTAGCTCCCCCCTGGGGCTGGGTCCTCTGTTGGTGTACAGGCCTGGGGTGTATGCAGAAGGGCAAATATGTGCACATGTGTTCTGCAGATAAGTGTGCAACCTCCAGCTGTTTGGGCTTGTGTGTTCTGCCTAAATGCATTGTGGGCATCTCTGCATGGGGCTGGCTTGATGGATGAGATGGTGTGTCTGGGGGCTGCAGAACCACACTGGGTTCCTAAGTGTGTAATTGTTCTGTAGATTGGCTGGCATTTCTGGGTCTCTGCTGGTCTGGGGTGGAGGTGGGGGCTGCTGTATCCAGGCAAACGCTCCCTGAAAAGTTCAAGTGCCAACTTTCCTGGCAATTGTTAAGCCCTGGGGACACCAACTCCATGTACCCTACCAGGTCAGCTCCCATGTATTACACAGGGAGAAACCGAGTCCCCAAAAGGGCAAAACGCTTGTCCCAGCGAAGCTAAAGACTGTTAATACGCTGTGTTAGTAAATAAAAATAGAATAAAAGACATAGCACCTACTAGCATGAGCCTGCCTCTGAGCTCAACTCTGACATAGAGGATTTCTTGTGGGGCTAACAGCAGGATTCTGATCCTAGGTTTACAACAGAAGCAGAGGCTCAGAGGCGATGAACAGCAAATAAATAAAAGCGTATCGTCTGGTGGGCACTGACTTTAAGGCAGGTACCACCCCTTGTCTAACCACCACGTTGTACACCTGAAACTAATACTGTATCAACTGTAATTGGAACATTAAAAAAGCCAGGTACCACCCCTTCCCCAAGCACCGCAGGAACTTTATCAAAGGACACAATAATTGGAGGTAAATTAAGTCCTTCGCTGCGCCCCATCCACTCCCCACCCCGCTGCTGTTTTATAGCACTGACTTCATAAACTGGTAGAGAAAAAATGAAGTAGAGCATTTAGCTCGTAGTGTTTGCTAGTTATAAATTATTATTAATTGTCGCCTGGTGTCCTTGGAGTGTCCTCAGAGGTGCACGTGTGCACCCTCCCTCCCGT